GCCCGTGTGGAAGTGGAGGCCCTCGACCAGGATCCCCTCCAGTTCCATACCTTCCCAACGCATCCCAACTACACGTCCAAGAAACCTCCGCAAAAAAGCCGAATCCGCAAAACAACGCATGAAACCGCAAGCAAACAATAGCAAACCACCACACAACCACCCAAGAACCACACCAACATTCCAATAACCACCCGGAACAGAAAACCCTCCGCACAAAGAAACACAAGCACCACACCAATCTCACCATCTCCACTACGAAATTCCACAACATCAAAGCGCACCAAAAACAACACAAAAGAATCAAAAGTAGCCCCAGCCGAGCACGCATTTCAAATTCACACTCTCTACCCGAATATCCCAAGTACCCAAAACCCCACAAACGCAAAAACCCCCTTGATCAGCACCATCGCCCCCACCAAGACCGCAAATCGTACAACGCGCCCAGACAAAGGGGAAGGGGTGGAAACCTCAGAGACCAGCTTCAATGATGTCGGTGCACGCAATCCCACTCATACTGTTCAGACAGCGTTAGCCCTGATTCCGCGTTTACACGATGCAAAATCAAACTTGAGCAGAGCGAGAGACGAGTTGAGTTCATGGAGAGGGTTGGGGGAGGGAAACAAGAAGAAAATTTAAAAAACATACCACTTTGCCGTCCTCGTCCCCGGTATACACGTTATGCGGCATAGGCAGGATACACGTAATGGGCGCGGCAGCGCTCGGATTGGTTGGATCGCCGTGATTGAGGACGTTGATCAGGTTAACGGACCATTTTGCGTCCTTTGGGACGGAAGAGGCGGACGGTGACGGTGGTGTGGGTGTGAGATGGAAAATCTAGCAATGGTCTATGTTAGTGTTTTCTCTTTGACGGATTGCAACAGTGGCACAGTGGGGTGCAGATTCAGGGATTCAGGGGAATCGGGTGCCGTACCTTCACTACGCCCCTCCTTTGGCCGGTGAAGATGAGTTCGCGCTCACACCACTCGTTGCCCACACCCTCGTACACGGCGATTGCTGTGATGCCTTCGACGTCTTCTTCGCCGTCACAGACATCCTCATTTAGCAGTACTGTCCCGTTTAGGGTGGTGATGATCAGTCGCGGTCCCACCGCTAGTACAATATGACCTGTGACACTATTGATCCTTGCAGCTTGAATCGGCACAGGATTCCGGTTGTGTGCAGGTCCAAGGTCCAGTTCGCGCACAAACTCTGAGCGATTGAGATCCCACAGAAAGACGCGGCCATCGAGCGATGCAGATAGGAAAGCAGAGAATGCACGAGAGGCAGCGAGTGTGACGACGGGCGACTTGTGGCCGAAGAGCGTGGTTGCGTTCTGGAGTTCTACATGGCCTCGCTCTCCCTTGGATACGTTCCATATGGCAAGTGTGCAGTCTGTGCCAGCGGTGATGAGGGTGCGGCCATCGACGAAGAGAGATGTTGCCAATTGGCCAGAGTGTAGGTGTTCAAATAGTCCGACAAGTTTCTTCGAAGAGGACTCATAGAAACGTACGCTACCATCTGTAAAGCCCCATTCCATGTATCGGTCATGGTGTGGTGGAATGTTATGGCGAAACGGCGCAGAGCACAAAAGTTTATCGTTCTTGGTGATGTAGTTCAACGAGGAGACGCGATCGTTTGCCTCGAGAAGAGTGCCTGGGACACGATGAAGACTTTCAGCCGAGGTGTCAAGCCTGATAGGTTTGGCCAAATTCTCCTTCTGTGGGTGAGGTCGTTGGAAGACTTGTGTTGGGGTCTGCCCAAAGTTGTTGATGACGCTGATTTTCTGTGCACGCTCTTTTTCGTCGGTGATCGAGTCGAGATCAATTGCGCCTTGATAGGTCATCCAGTGGTAAACATTGGCGGCATCGATAGCTGCATCACCCCGCTGCTTGAAACCAAAGATGAGATCGATCCAATGATGCAAGTTTTGGCTCACGTAGAGACTTTCCAGGGCTTCTCGCTGCTTTGCAATGAATATCGCAGGGTCACCCTTTGCCCATGGAGGTAGCTGAACGTTATCTATGCTAGAGCCATCCGAGCGCAGGCCAAAGTTGTAGCCATTGACATTGGTGAGAAAGTCGGGTAGAAAGAAAAATTCTGGTGTGAGCTCCCGTACGTCTGCCATATTCTTGTTCGAAGCAGAGTCCCATACATTTTGGATCGAGTAGAACATACGATCCGCATGATCCCAAGTACCGCCTTGAATGAGGAAAAAGGCCGCGCTGAATGGCTGCAGACGCATGAGGTACGAAGCAACTGTCATAGCTGATGAGTAATGTGTTCCGTAGTGGAAGGCTTGGCTAGCATCGCCCATTTCGGCAAAGGAGCTGAATCTTTCCCTGATCATGCGCTCCTGTTTCGGATCTTGGACACCGATCGGCTTTTTCAGATCACGAAAGTTACCAGGATCAGAAAGGTCCAGCTCTTCACTCTCATAATTTGAGATGACCCATGGGAAAACAGGGTATTGCGTCAGGTCGTTGAAGGTTCGTCCTGCAAGTGTGTTGACGAACATGAGGTAGTGAAAGTTGGACATTTCTCCCTTCAGCCACTTCTTTGTAGCTGGATGTGACGATGCTGAACCAAAGGCAGATGCAAAGCGTGATCCAAGTGTTTGTGGTGCTTCTTCCGGGTTGCGCAAAGAGTCGAGCCGCCACGCAATCTCTGAATTCGCAAGCTTATCAGGATGTGCCACATGGGAGGCTCTCTGCAGTACACGCGAGTGGATGTCGTTGCGAGCTTGTGCCGAGACTGCTGTCAACAGGTAGCTGCGTCCGTCATCGAAGAATACTTCTATACCGACGTCGCGATGCAGGAAGCGGCGTTTGGAAATACTAATAACTTCGGTCCATTTCCAATTTCTGGCCGCATCCTCTTGATTCCGGGGTGGTGGCCGACGGTTGGTGACCGCTTCTTTTCCTGCAATGACCTGAACGTAGGGATCTCGCTCATCAGGAGGTGCTTGCCAAACACGAACAATCTCGCCGTCGGATCTCTGGAAGAAGTCATCCAATAGGTATAGGCAATCCTTGCCTACAATAAGAAGCCCTTCTATAGCTTCTAGACCAACTACACGAGATATGTTGCAGACATATTGTACTTGATCTCCTCGATTTAAGCTTCGCATGACTTTGCGATTCTTATCCTCGAACCCATCTTCATCTTCGAACATGGCTTCCACCATCTCAAAGTCGTCTTCACTACCTGTCTCTGCATCATCTTTCCCATCGCCTCCCGTACTGAGTGCAGAAGACGGTCTGCCCGTTTGTCCCGTGACGGGTGTGACGCCAACAGCCTCCTTTGTAGAAATGGATGGCACGTTGGTTTCCAGTCTAATCTTGTCTCGAGGGTCAGTGTCCTTGCGTTTCGGTTGATATATCTGATCACCATTGGTATTGTCAACAATGATCCTCATGCGTTTTCTATCGCGACCTTCCGTCTCGTCAAGCCGCCACTTGGGCGGTGGGCTATCTTCGAAGAGTGCACATGGGCTCTTGAGTTGATGATCGAGCTTTGCAAGAACTGTCGTCATGTATGTTGCATTGTCTTGCTGATCCTGAAGCACACGCTGATGCTTGATCCGTTCTGAAGCGTGAATGTTGGATCGCCAGTGATTTGTTGAGTTCTCGTGATGGTTCCAGATGTTCTCATTCGCCAGATCTTCAGCTTGCCACTGCTTCAACCTTTCTTTGCGTTTGGATATGCGTCGCTGGGAGGTCTCCTCCGTCAGCTTGTTTTGATGGTGCGTAAAGTTTTCCCAGGTTCGGGACATCGATCCGTAGAAAAAACCATCCAGGTCTGTCTTGTTCTTGTCGAGCCATTGCAAGAAAGTCTCGTTGTCAAGTTCGACAAGCTTTTGAAACCCTTCATAAACGTTGTTCTTGTCTGAGTGGATGGCATCGGCCAATATCTCAGCTGTCTCGTTCGGCTTCTGCACCATAAGTAAACGCCAAAAATTGGCGGATGCCAGTCGAACCGCTTCGTGTTCCGAGGAAAGTTTAGTGTAGAGTAGATAGCAGATCATCTTCAGTGAAAATGAGTCATTGTTGGCAGAGGAGAGGATGATGGGTTGCCAGTAGACCATCTTTTCAATCACCGCAACGGTATCCGATCCGCCCGCTGACATGTCGGGATCTGCCAGACGAAGCAACGCAACCTTCAGGAAAGTCGTACGTATCAGTTGGGTGGCTTGCGTGCAAAGACGTACTGTCTTGATTGAAGCAATGTCCGGCCGCTCCAGGTACTCGAGTACGAACCCTGCGAAATCCAGCAGTGGCTCCGCTCCATCAAGGAACCATCCCTCAAAAACTGCCTCGGAGACATGGGTCACAAATCGCGACAAATTGGTGAGTACTCGCGGCTCATGAAGGAGCTTCAAGTCAAGCTGGAGTGCATTCTTTACTGAAGACAGAGTTTGACGTAGGATATAAGATTCGAAGTATGCTTGGTGTTCCTGAAATCCAGGCGGTGTTTTCAGAAACAAACCTAGGCCGGGGAAATCCTTTCGCGTGAAGATTTGGTCTTTGAAGACGTCTAGAACGACTTCTACCATAGATTCCACCACTGAGCTACCAACCTTCAATGCGACTGGCGCAGTGAACCTTGGTGATAGCATCGGATTCAATGTTGGTTGCTTGGAATTCTTGTTCTTATCAGCAGAGACCAGGACAAATGATGAGGCTCTTCGAAACGGCAGAACCCGTCTTGCAGAGGGCACAGGTGAAACGTTGACATGGGCTGTGCGCACTATAGGCGCTTCCTGTCCGTTCGTCTGTGTCAAAGGCTGAATGACCACATCGCGGCCTTCAAATGTCAATGAACCCCTAGATAGTAACTCAGTCTCTGCACTGACACTGTCAGAGGTGACGATGGCAGGATAAAGAACGAATAGCAACTCTTGAACATAGGTAGAAGTATTAGCGTAATCGCGAAAGCTTTCTGATCGGGACTGGAGTTCGGACAGGAACTGTATGGCAGAGTTCAGCACAACTGCGTAATCGCTCAGACGCTCTACCTGGGGAGCTTTTGTGTCTAAATTGCGTTAGTGTTCATTTTGCAGCACAGATTGACTAACTGTACCTATTGTGGGCTGCGCAGCATTGAGAGACATTGTTCTACGCCGTCCTCTCGACGCTGTGATGTCTATATCTGCTTGCTTGGACGTGCTGTTTTCTGCTCTTGCATGATCTCGATCTCTGACTATCGTCCGTAGTCCCGTGTCAAGCATAGCAGATATGACGGGAAAAACTTCTGGATAACAAAGCCGGAGCTTGGTCTGTGGGGAATGCATGATGAAAATGTCGACCAGATTAAAGACGTCAAAATCCCTCTCAAAGTCGATTGTTGCGACATCTCGGTCAAAGAGGATGGCAAAACATATAGTCCAGATACCTGGTGTGTTCCACCAGTGTCGGAGTCTGTTCTTCATCAATGTGAATCCACCAGTCTTATCTGCAAACTTTTTGACAAAGTGAGGACCATTTAGCACGAGCAATCTACCCAGGATCTTAGTTCCGAGGACTACAACTCGCTGATCAGGTTCAGCGAGGAGATACAACAACCATTTGCCAGTCACGTTTTTGGCAAACCGAATAATTTCATGTGGATTATGAGGATCGCAAAGCACCTCAGCCAGAAGCTCGAGAACGGCAATGCCCAAGTCTGGCAGTGATAAGATCATGTTAACACTCGCTGCCGGACTGGTGGATCGTGGCGTGGCTGCAGGTGTCAATGATGTCGGAGTTGCTTTCCGGAGTCGGCGGATGCTGCCTTGTGGACGCAGCGTCCGCTTTGCATATGAGGCGCGGCTATCATGGAGGGCGTATGTAACGAAAAGAGACAACGACCTTGCATTCTCGCCGTTGAAATTAGTTAACAGAAGCGCTTTGAAAGCTTCCAAGAAGAGCTTGAACGTTTCCATTGTGAAGGATTCACCCTTCAAAGCGTCTGTGAGCCGCTTGACCACTCCTGATGCTGCGGTTAACATGTTTCACAAAGGCAGCAAAATCTGAACGTACGTATTCTTTGAAATCTCTTGGCATTGTAGTGATGATGTTTACTGCCCTTGGCAAACTGGACAAACTGCCGGTAGTACAGTTTCTGCGTGTCCAACGATGTGGCCCTTCGCCAGATCTCAAGGTCAACCAGCAGCACTCGATAGGCTAAGGGGTTGATGATGAGGGATTCTGTGGGCTCTTTTTCATCGTATCCAACGAATCGGAGAATGGCCAGAAGAAGTTGCATGACAAAGCCCTCGCAGTCTTCCGGCGATACATCGAGGGACGATGCATTGCGCATAACAATACCACCCATGCTATACCCAATCTTCTGGCGAATGACTTCAGCCAGGACAGCGAAGCCATTGCGCTGCTCCATTGCCTCACAGTTGCGCCAATTACCACCCACAGCCTCAAGTAAGATGTTTACTGCCCGCAGCATGCTGTCCAATGTCTGCGAAGACTGAACAAGCTTCAAACCTACCGCAACGCAACCCCCAATACGCCAGATGGCATCGTCGAGTGATTGCGGCACTACCACGACTGGTTCACCCGACAATCGCCCGAAACCTCGAGCCTGTGACAGAGCATCGTTGACCGAAGGTACCGCCGCGTTGATGATGATGGGCGTGCTGTGCATACGCGTATACTTGTGTAGCACCTTGGACGATTCGCGTGACAATGATCGAATCAGTTGTGATTCATCAATGGCATTCCTATCGTCGTCATCCATGACTGAACTTGGCGAGAAGCTCAGTAAGATTTTCGATTCCGGCATCAAATGACTAGCATTGGCACGGATCGCAGCAACAATCTCAGAACGCTCCTCTCGGCCAGGATGGAGTATTTCGTTGTGAACATGCAGTTCAGCAGACGTACGATAGGTTTGGAACGAGCCGAGTCGGTCCTGGAAATTACCGCAATATCGAGGCCCCAACTTGTGGTAAACTGCTATCAGCTCATCTGACAGTGGTTCAGAGAAGAGATGAAAGGAAGCCATGGAAAGCTTAGACTTGATCACATTTCTGCCTAGACGGGGAGCGAGGTTTCGTGGAGTGCCTAGGAAAGCAAGAATATTGTGCTTCGAGGTGCTCGACGACATGGAGGCGAAGCTCTCCTGACTGCTATCCAAAAGAGGCGGATGTGATGGGTAATGCGCCTTCATGTTCTCGGTGAACTCGCCGTCCACGAAAAGTGAGGCCTTGGAAGCACCTATACCCATTGTCTTTGCTCGCCGATGGACAATAGCGATATGATACCACCTGCCGCGCTCAAAGCGGGGGGCTTTTTTGAAACGTACACTTGGGATAATACCCGTGGAGTGCCCCATATAAGTCTGCAGTATAAAGCATCGCGTATCTTTTTCGAGATACGCCATCACGAAGCAAGTCTGAGTATCATCATACGCACCAAAGAGGGTAGTGTGACAGCTCTTGTCAAAATTGTCTACGCGTATCCATGCAGCAAATGTGTAGCCTCCACCAGGCGATACTGGCGGAAAAGGCCTACCCATGTCTGGGAGCTCCATTGCACTGAAGCCGTGCAGTGAAAGATCAAACTGAATAAACGGAGGAGATCGAGAGGATCGCATACCGCGAAGGAGAAATTCTGCAGCGGACTCAGACGATGCTGCCTTCCGAAACAGGTAGTAAGCATCGTCGAGCTTGCTGATGCCATACTCGATCAGGTTGTCAGCCAGCTCCTGCAACAAGCCAGCTTCCACAGGACGACATTTGTTGTCGAAGAGTAAGGGTAAGATGAAGCTTGATATCCCAGTAACGTGCAGTGCGGCCTTGTTGTATGAAGAGAGCGAAGTGATTTCCAGTATGGCGACCAGGACGGAAACGGAAAGAGCCTTCGATCTGGTGCCCGGTGCCTCCTTCCCAGACAGACCTTGCCAGAAGTGCAGGATAATGGGTATAATGTCAGGATTCTGAAGAACCTCGTTGCCGCTGAAGATGGCGCGCACCTGGTCTCGCAGAGGGCCAAGATCCATCTCCTCTTCGCTGTGCATGGATCGTGGACTGGAGACGACAATCTCGAGGGATTGTGTGTCGTCACTCGTGACGGACGTGTCTTCCTGGGTTGCCTGTGCCTCCTCGACCTTCTTGTCAATATCACGGAAGATTCGCGTCATAGTCTCCTCGCCCAGTGCAAAGGCAAGCAGGCAGCCGAACAGCTGCTCTTGCCCCGCATCGTCCCTTGTGCTTGTCGAGTGCCCGCCAAATATACCCGTGCTGCCCAGCGCCTGCTCCAGTGCACCCCAACCGCCGTCCTCGACGCGTTTGGCAAAGAACCGCCTGTTGCCCGCATGCTCATTCAGCGCGTCGGAGAGCACGTCCAGCGTGGCCTTGATGACCTCGAAGAAGTCGATGCGGTCTGGTGTCGCCAGCTCAGTGGGTTTGTAGAAGCCGGAGAGGGATCGGATGGTGAGCAGCAAGACCTCGAAGCCACGCACATGGCGAAAGGCATCTTTGGTGTGGGTCTGGTCATTGGACTCTATCAGCAGCTGGCGCATACGGCGCAGCGAGTTGCTCTGGTTCTGCAGGACATGGGGCGTGGGGGGCGAGACCTCAGAGGCCTGGATGAGGCCGTCAGCGAGGCTGCGGAGTTCGGCTATCTGGTCATTC